TTCCTCTCTCGTTCTCGCCCCTCGCTCCTATACTCCTCTCCTTTTCCCTTCACGCTCTAACCCCCGTATCAGAGCTTCCTCTCAGCTTCTTCTATTCTCCTTCATCGACATTCGACGCGTCCCCTCCACACCCTTACCACTTCCCCACCCTCAAACTCGCCCTGTCTTTCTTCCTTTTTCGTCTACGTGCCGTTGCTTCTCTTTCCCACCAGTCCCTCTCCGTCCTATACTCCACCCTCTATCCGTCTCTCTTCTTCTTCTACCACCTCTGACTTTTTCTCCCTTCAACTTTCGACCACTCTCTCTTCTTCTCTACGTTTCCGTCTCTTTCACCAGCACTGTGTGTCAGTGTCTCCTCGTTTTCTCCTTTCTCTTCCCCCGCGCAGAAACAGAGGGAGAGAGAGAGAGATAGAGGGAGAGCCCTCTCTCCTCCACGGGCAGAGGAGCCACCCTCTGACATCCCCTGTTTCACTCTGCCACCCTACTTTCCTCTTCGTTCCTCTCGAAATTCCTGCCCCATACCCTTCGTACACGTTCGAGGTGGTGGTAGGTCGTAGAGGTGGGAGCCTGCGCACGTGTAAGCTCGCGTACGATAGAGTGTGTGTGTAGGTGAGTGTGCGCGCGCGCAATCCTCGCTGGGCCTCCCGCTCGATATCGGAGCTCTACAACTCTACGCTACGAATCCACATATTATACCGGGTGTCGCCTCGATCATCCCGATGCTCGTCGTTTGCTCGCTAACTTCGATCCACAACCGTGACGAGGAGAGACTGCTTTTAATCGCGATCGAGGATCGTTTTCGCTGAGTATTAAAGAAGGTAGTCGACGGGTGTCGTACTTTGCTGATAAGATTATGCTCGTTTTTTCAGCATTTGTCAAACTTCAATTTAGTACATATAGATAGAAAATATTGTCGCTCGTGATTCATCGATGCTTCTGTATACGATAAACGTATATACGTGGAATAATCGAATATAGTAGAGAGTAATCTCGGTTTTGGTGGTTACGCGATTAGGTGCTGTTAGTAATGAATTTATGGAAGACAACAGATGCAGCTGAAGCAGACTGTTGAAATTTCGACGGCACGCGAGCAGCGTATATACACCGTTAATGGCGATTGTAGGTCGAAGGGAGCACGAATCGTTTCTAATCGGTGTGTTTTCAAAACAGGACAACGTTCAACCTTCGTCCGTATCGTTGGAAGGATACACGAGTAAAGCGACGTCTAATGTGGAAACTTTGGACAGTACCTTAAATAGTTAGGTATATACTTTACTCTCGAACGATTCAACTTTTAAACTCTACTTACGAGTAAAAGAAATTCTAGATCTCTCTCTCTCTCTTTCTTTTCCTTTGACTAGAAACTATACACCCAACCGATCGATGTTTAATAGACAAGACGCGATCCTGGGTGTTTACACGCGCGGATACCGTGCTCCCTGTGCGTCGTCGTTCGCGATATTAACGTAAATATAAATCAGATATATTTGCTGAAACAACAAACGACGTCTAACCGTGGCTGGTTAATTCCGGAACCTCTCTCCAACTATCACATGTACTCGCTTTCGCAGACTTAACATATCTAATTCAACGTTTCCACGGCGACGACAATAGCGAGCTTAGCGTAAACTTTGTAATCAGAGGAACACAATCTCGCTTGGACAACGAAGACGACGTGAATTCATCTCTGGCTGGTGCGTTGCTTCTTTTCAACGTCTCTTTAGACTCCTAGATTTTCTCTCGATTCAGAGAAGGAAGAAGCTCGTCACCGGTGAGAGAGACCTCTTCTTCACGGCCCCGCGTGAAACGTTTCTCCCAAGGAACACACCGCACCTGAGGAGAAAAAAAAAAGAAGCGAGGTGTAAGGGATCGAAGAACAGTGGTAGGAAATCTGCACTGTAATTTTTGTCGTTATATTTTCAGTTCTTTAGACCGGTCGCAACCCACCGCTGACTCTTGACCTTTTTTCCTTTGGTGTGGCGGGCGCGAGGAAGAATCGCTGGAGGAACGGGAAGGAGAATACGGTTGCACACGCAGAGCTGAAGGAAAAGTTTGTCCCGGAGGCACGTGTAGAAACTGCACCGCCATGGCGTAGAAAACGACAGACACACGGTTACCCGTGGCATGGAGCCGTTCCTGTAACCTCCTTAAAAGTCGGTTCGTTACGTTCCAGGGGTCGTTACACAGTTATTAGCGGAGGCCAACGCCGGAACCGGAGACTTTCGAGCTTTCGCCTCGTTTCACCTTTCCGCGACATCCGCTTTTCCTACCAGCCGACACGTGAGAGCAAATTCTCTCGCAAAAAACGCCGCGGCCCGATTTTCCTCTCTTTTTCTCTCTCTGCTAAACGAGACCTCCGCACAGTCGTC